GAGTGAAACCACCTGTTGCACCTGCTGTGAAGAACAGTTGATCCCCAGACCATACTGTAGATTGCTATCAGGAGTTGGCATTCACAGAATTGCTATTTCCTCTTGGGTTCAAATACATTTCTGTAGCAAGTGCTTTGTAAAACTTGACTTAAACGTAGATTTTGCAAAGTTTTAAGTGACCAGAATCCACCATCTTTCAGGGTAAACTGAAGAAATTGGGCATCAACCCTTTGTTCTTGGCTTGTCAATTTGGAAAGATGGTTTCTAAGGTTATACTCAGGTTTTCAACCTGAATCACAATATGTGGGTTTGCTTTTGAGCAGAATGTCTTTATCTTCTCACACCTTTGTAATATCTGATAGAATACAGTAATTGATATTTAATGGTATATACAAGCATATGTATACATGTATGTGTATGAATATGTTACATAAGTGAAATTTTGGACATTTATCTCTGAAGCTTCCGATGGAGAGTGGGAATTCCTCTTGATATATTGTCACCTGTTATTTGCAGGCATATCTATTTCTAGGGACATAGGAGAGAATAAAAAAAAAACATATATCAAGTACAGTCCACTCCTCTGAAAGACTTTAAAGAGAAACAGTATTTTTATATGGCAGTAATATAGTCTCAATATTTGAGTCCTCACAGACTTGCAGGTCAGTCAGATTTACAAACAATATAGTCTAGAAAGGCAGAATTCTATATTTTAGGGCATCCCTTGAACGTAATTTGCCAGTGAAAACATACTACAGTGTTTTCATATGCCACTTACTTTTCTCACCTTTTAAAGCACCAAATAACCCTCAAATGGGCCTTTTGAATTTAATGCAATCATGGTATTTTAGCTAAGTTAGAAGAATTTTTGATAAGGTCATTATTCCTAAAAGTATTCAGAAGAACTAGTTTAAAAACTAGCATAAACTATGTACAAGATTTCTTTCCGATTTGACTCCTGAGTTGCTCTGTGAATCCGTTAGTTTCTTCTGTTTCTTCTGAGGGAAGGAGTGGAAGGAGGGACGGTTTCTGTGTGGTGCCTTTGAAGTGGGGCTATTAACAGGAGACCACTAGGCGGCAGCACGGACCTAGGAACCAGGAGCCTTGCATTTGGGCCTGAGCTTCACCGGCTGTGTCCCCTTAAGTGCCATCTAAACCCTGAGCTTCAGCCCTGGCCAGGTGGCTCAGTTGGCAACCAATCGATGTTTCTCTCTCTCCGTCTCTCTTTTCCTCTCTAAAATCAATAAACATATCCTTCGCTGAGGATAAAAAAAATAAAAAATAAATAAACTCTGAACTTGAGTTTCCTCATCATAGCCATGCCAGAATTCGGATATATCTATTGTTATTGTTGTTTTTAGGATTTTGTTGTGACTATGACCCACTCGGAGAGCCTGAAGTGCTGGGGGACGTGGGGCGGGAACCCAGGGGTGGGCCACCGCAAGTCTAGTTGTTTGGGGGAAGGTGGAGCCTTCTGGAGACACTCTGTTCTAAGGCACAATGGTCGGTCCAAGCGCAGTGAGAAGCTCGGGAAAGGGAGGGACCCTGAGTACAGCCAGGCGTGGGCTCTGCCCCTTCGTGTAACACAGGACTCGCTGTGCTCCATTCTTAGGGCAGAGCATACGCAGATCAGTGTCAGTCCGTTGATCTGTGAGAGGACATTATTGTCAGGGATCAGAATGCTCCTACCTCTGTCATCAGAGCATTCTCTCTCTCTGGGCAGACTGACATAAGCCAAACAACAATCAGAAGGTTGCTGGGTGACTGCTGATGAGTAGCTTCTGGGGATGGTGCATCTGTCTCCCCAGACATGGCCTTGTTGGGACCAGAACTTCTGGAGTCTGATAGCAAAGGCCCCCTTTCTGATCCGGGTGTGGCATGCGCACCGCCCGCCAGTGCTGTTTTATTGATGGGCTTTGGAAGACAACGGTTATGTGTCTTTTAAAAACTTGAATGAATGATCCCCGATTTCTCTTCTGAGCTATTATTTGTGATTCTGGGGCATCGCCAAGCAGTAGCAGAGCTGATGGTCAAGGAGCCAGACTGCCTGGGTTCAGCCATGGCAGCTGGGCAAATTACTTGATCATTCTATGACCCCACTGTCTCCAGCTCTAAAATGGGGAGGGTAATAGTATCGGGGTTCCAAAGTTGTCATGGAGACGAAATGAGTTAACAAATGAAGCATTTGACATACTTCTTACCACATAGCGCATACTTAGATTTTAGCTATTTTGAGAATGTACTTGCCTTTTTCTATAATATTTTTGTGGTTTAATATAATTGCTTATTGTGTTTCGTAACTAGGTGGTTTTATAATACAGTGAAGTATTTAATACTACATGCTGACTAGTTAGTTGACATGGCCAATTTTAACAGTAGTGTTACTATCATCATTGTAATGAATCATAATACTAAAACAAAACATTTTAAAAATTATTGAGCATGTATTTCTTAGGCACAAAAATATGCAGTAGTCCCCCCTTCCCAATTCACAGTTTCCCTTTCTACATTTTCAATTACCTACAGTCAACTGCTGTCTGAAAATATTAAATGGAAAGTTCGAGAATAAACAATGCACAAGACTTAAATTTTGAGGCGTTCTGAGTGCATGGTGAACTCTGGTGGTGTCCTCCCCACCGCACCCAGGACGCGAAGCAGCTCTTCGTCCAGCGTCTCTACGCTATAGATGCTCCTGCCCATTAGTCACTTAGCAGCCGTCTTGGTTTTCAAATCAGTGGCAGTATTGCCATGCTTGTGTTCAGGTAACCCTTATTTTACTTAAAAATGACCCCAAAGTACAAGAGTAGTGATGTTGGCTATTTGGATATGCCAAAGAGAAGACGTAAAGCGCTTCCTTTAAGTGAAAAGGTGGGTACAGTACAGAGATATTTTGAGAGAGAGAGACCACCCACATTCACACAACTTTTACTACAGTATGTTATAATTGTTCTATTTGATTATTAGTTATTGTTGGTAATCTCTTACTGTGCCTAATTTATAATTAAACTTTATCATAGGTATGTATGTTTAAGAAAAAACATAGTATATATAGGGTTCAGTACTACCCATAGTTTCAGGATCCACTGGAGTTTCTTGGCACATGTCCCCCATGGATAATGGGGGACTACTGTATCTACACCTAGTTGGAGTCTTTTCCAACTAGAGTCATGGCCTTCAAAGGGCGACAAACTGTTGATCTCTGCCAGATCTGTGCCATGGAAAAAGAGCCTTGGGGACATGTTTTGCATTCATTAGCCAAGTCTAATGTGAGCTTTTTGTGTGTGTGTCAGGGTATATTTGGCTATCTTGTTCCTAGTCCCATTGTAGAGTCAGAATAATATTAAGGAAAACAAGTAGTTCCAAAGGACTAGGTACCCCTGACCAGGTAGCTCAGTTGGTTAAAGCAGTGTCCCAATATGCCAAGGTTGCGGGTTCAATCCCTGGTCAGGACACATACAAGTAGCAACCAATGAATGCACAAATAAGTGGAACAACAAGTCAGTGCCCCTCTCTCTCTCCCTCGCTCTCTCTCAAATCAGTAAATAAATAAAAATTTGAAGCACTGAGTAAAAGTTACTAAATAAAAATAGAGGACAATTTCAAGCCCTGAAAATGGAGCTTATTTAGCAATTTTAAATAGATGCAATTGAATTTGCTTCTTTTGCAGTTGTTTTTGAATCATTTAATTCATGTAAAATATATTATTCCAGGCTATTTTTAATCTCATCTTTTAAGGGTTTCACAATTAATAAGCAGAAAGCTAAAATTGTAGTAAAATGTGTAAATCATTTATACAAATAATCAATAATAGGATTTATTAGAAAATATAATAGCCAATATAACACTTAATCTTGAGTAACTGAATAATTTGTGAAGGACTTCATGACTTTTTAAGAAATTTATAATTGCACAGTTAGATTTAGATCAGTGCCTTGGGTAATTTCAGGATGTAAAATAATAAAAATATTATAGAATGAATTCCTGAAATTTGGAGTATAAAGAGCTTGATTGATGCTGTGAAATCACTGTTTTAATTACACTTTCTTTAGCTGTCGGATTATATCCGTTGGCTTTTAGCACCAATTTTTGTACTTAGAAAAACCCCCTTCACATTCATGTCTGTTTCTAGCACCTTCTCCCTGCTGCCTTACCCATCCAGAGTTAGACATGCATACCCCAAGGAACGTCAGGGGCAGGACAGGAGACACTGCCACTAAAAACAAAAACAACAACAGAAATCAAGGTTTGTTTTTCATATTTTTCAAAACAAGTGCGGTTGTGTGGTGGTATGTATGAGGTGGCGTAAGAACTGCTCCTTCCTGGTGAAAGCAATAGAGGAATATGCTCCCTAAGCACCCAGGGGCAACACCTAGGGCCACAGTGCCTTCAGTATGTCTCCGCAGAGGATGGTTTGGCTCTCAGCTTAGTAGGTTTAGGAACTCAATTTGGTCCATGTATCTAGATAATCAGCCTCATAGGGACTTGCATTAAACACATCATTTCAGATTGATGCATAAATCAAAGTCCCAGTTAATTAGGTTGCAATGAAGACTATGTAGCCTTTCCTGCTACCACAATATCTAAGCTGGCCAGGACAGGGTCTCATTTTGCTCCCTGTTGTGACCACGGTGCCTGGCACAGTATTTTGCACACAGCAGCCATTCAATAAGTATTAACTACATTTACAAAGAAAGAAAAGAGAGAGAAAGGGAGTAAGAAATTCTGAGTGAAATGTCATCCAGATCGTAAAAGTTTAGTATTCCAGCTTGCCTCCTCAGAAAACATAGCTGTGATATACTAGTTCATGCTAGTTCTTCAGATTCCTTAGTTTTCCCCTGGAGAAAAATAAAATGAATTGACTTATTTTTGCCTTTTAGCCTTGATATTCAGCCTCCTTCATTCTCTTTGTAACTCAGCCTTTCTTCAGAGAGATTACACTACAACTAATGAAGCCTCAACTTTGCCAGCCCTGCCTCCCAGATACTCAGCCCCAGTCAGCTTGCTCGGACTTCCCGAATCTCCCTGGTGCACACTGATAGATGGGCCCTTTGTTCTTGGAGGTGGTCTCTTCCAGATTCAGGGTCCCCTTCCTCACCGATAAGGATAACCCACAAAAAGCATCTGAAAGAGGAGCTGATGCTCCACTGATAGGTAATATATTTCAACACATCCCCCCCACATACACACTCAAAAGGTAATGACAACAAAGAAAAAGGACTTTTTATATCTAATTTGTAAATTTCTATATTTGAAACAAGTTGCTCCTTGGTACTTCAGAATTACACATATGTATTGACAATACAAATCTCATCCTGTCTGACTTTTGGGGCTCAGGGTTGTACAGCAGTTTTCTATGTGAAAAAGTTTAAAAGTCTAATAATTCCCTCATTCTAATTCTTGGCCCAAATCAGGACTATGCAAACCTGAAATGAGAACCACTCACCTGACAGTTCCAGGTTTCCAGGGCTGCTCAATGACCTGAATAGCTCTGGATCCTGCTTAGAAAGTGTGCAGCAGGCAGAGACCAGATGGGGTCCCCTGGGTGATGCCAAGGAATCCTGCAGGGCTTCCCCTATCCCGGGTCACAGCCTCTAACCCAATATGTATTGAATTGGGAGGGAGCATGCACAGAAGTCAGCCTTCTCTAGCTTTCTTTCCCAGCAAATGCCTAGGGAAATTTCCCCTGTTAAGGCTGTTACTATTATCTTTATTATTAATGCTAAAAATAATAAGAGAATTTTGAGAATTTTGACTATTGTGATGATGCATGTAATGATTCATATTAATCAAAAGTCTGCTCTGGCCAAGCCTTTTCCTAGTATTTTGCAGACATTGTTTCACTTAATCTTTAGAACAACTCTATGAAGTTGTATCTCTCTCATTAAACAGGTGAGGAAATTGAAGCCTGGAGGGTTCAAAAACTTGCTTAAGATCACACAACAACAACAACTGGTGTAATCGGTATTGTTTTACTCCACAGCCTACTTTCTTAACTAGTACTTTGGACCTCTCCTATCTTAAATCCCAGGAAGGTAATTAGTTGCATAACACACACCAACAAGGGAAATCTCAAATTTCTAAAAATCTAATTAGATTGCTTTTTACACTGACCCTTTGGTCCATCTTGACTTTTCGAGGGGCACATATGTATAGCTTATCTACCGTTATGCTCTGCTGAACTTTGTATCCCTTTAGGATGCACGGCCCGTCCTATTAAAGGGAAGGGGGGAAACTAGGAGAGGAAGGAGATAGATCGGTTACTGGTGTTACCATAACAGCTTCGGGTGCAGCTGAGAGACTTTGAAACTGATGCATAAAATTAAGCTTCAGGATTATCTGCTTCTTTAGTACTTCATTCATCTGGATATAATGAGATGAGTCAGCCAGCAGCCAAATCCCACTTACAATTGGAATCTAAGTATTAGGAAGAAAAACTTCCTATATTATACTTCTGCCATTGTTGCCCTAAAAACATTTGCTTTATTTTACCTTTTCTTTATATGGTCGGAATTCTGTAAATACAATTTATGAATAGCATTTAATTACTGTGAAATCATAGCTTTCCAATTTCTTAATATTGACTCAGTTTTTAGAAATGTTCATAAAGGCAAGCTAATATATTAATTGCTTTCATGTCTGTTTTTTTCCTATTTTCCTTTTATATGACCTTTCAGAAATTATCAATATTAACAGAAAGATATGCAGACAAATGAGTCTATCTTATTTTTAATGATGCCCAAAGAAGATAATATTTCTTTCCCAAATTTTTCAGTGTTTATTGAAGGAATTACTCTCTAATATCGAATTCCTATTCCTGTGGGTGAGATGCATTCCCTCCAGCTTCATCCCCTTGGAGATGGAGAATAGTTTGTCATAGGAACAGGGAAGGGTTAACTTATATGCTATGAAATATTCTGAGTTTTAGATATATGGAGAAGATCCAGAAATTAAATTTTAATAGGCCTCCAGATTTGGACAGCAATCAAAGATTTTCTCTATAGTAACAATTACACACACCACTGATCTGAGATCAAATATTTATGTCTTCCCTACATGCTGGAGAACTAGCCTTTTGCTAGTTACTGTTATTACCAGGCCAATTCAATAGAGGGCAAAAGAGACTAAAAATGTCATTTCACAGTGGAAACTGCAAGAGAAAGTAATAATGAGCCTGGAAAAGATTAAGTACAATTGGAAATGAGTCTACACTGCAATAAAATACTATATTTGAGTGAATTTTTTTAGGGCTGTAATTTTTAACTTCTACTAAAGAACTGCCGTTTTTGCCTATCCCTGAAACACACACACACAAAGACAAAGAAGCCTGATGCTAGCAGGAAACAAAAGCTCTTGCTCATTTCAGAAAAGACTCTCTTTTCTAAAAGTATAGTCTGAAGAAGACTCTTTCATTATGCCTTGGGGGAAATGTAACCATTTTAAAAAATGAAGTAGAAATTATGTTTTCCTTTGGAAAAACTTGGTTTCCTTTGTTGCTGCAACTTAGAAAGCAGTAACAGACTAAATTCTGCTCCTGCAGGCCCCCCATCAAACACTCCCCATGTCTCATCCACCTGCAAGGACTAGAGCCCCTTCACGTGGCCATCATTAATCACCACCACGATGGGCACCACTTTACCAATTGCAATACTGTAATATCTTTGGGGGTACAATCTTGCAGCAAATTCCCCCAAACCAGGTACTTTTCAGGAACTACCATAGAGCTGCTCTTGAAGAATTTATGATTTAGAAACTTGCATTAAAGTATTATATTGCCTTTCTTTCATAACTTTATTTCTTTTCTGTTGACATTTCTGGTGATTTTATTTGGTTCCAGGGAAGCTGTGAAATTCTGTTATTTCTTCCCATTTGGTTCCAAATATACAACCCAACAGAGTCGTTAGGATCTCTTCAATCTCAACTGGGGATGGCTCCAACGAGGCACGGTCCCTCAGAAAAGTGCTTGTATAATCCAGAAGGGCGGACAGGACCGGAGACAAGAGGAGGTAAGTAGTAACAGAAGGCAGTTCTGAGTGAATGGGGTGCCTGGACGGAGTTCAAAAGGAGGGGACACGGGTCTGCTGGAGTCTGGGAGGGCTTCATGGAGAAGGCTCGTGTAGGGAGAAGGTTCTCCGGTGGCAGAGACTGGAGGAAGTTGGCGTCTAGATGGTGTCAGTAGCTAACGTGAAGGCTGGGAGGATGGAAGGGGTAAGGATGCTCGTGGAGCAGTAAACAGATCTGTCTGTCCGTGACGGGGTGCTCGCGAAGACAGAATACAGATGCACAGAGTTGCGGCAGGCCTTGAACGACAGGCGAGGAGACTGGAACTGTCTTCTCCATTTGTGTGGGAATTACTGCAGATTTCCGGAATAGGGAAGCGACAGGATGAAGGTGGTATTTGGGAAGATTGATGCAGAAGCAAAGTGTAGCACATGTGAGAGGAATGGGTATCCCCTGCCTGGAAAGGGAAGACACACCAGGAATTCCTATAAGATGCCCGGCATCCTTTAGTCATTAGCAAGCGCTTATTGAGTGTTTATTATGTGATAGGCAGCTTTCTAGGCCCAGGAATACAGTAATTAACAAGGTGGGTCCAAATTCTGTAGGGCCCGAAGTTGCCTTTCTCCCTCTCGTAGGCTGGGGTATGTATATGGTAGTGACCAACCTTTGGCCATGCAGGATATCGCAGTGGCAAGGTGAATGGAACCTGGGTCCTGTGCTAGTACCTAGCACAATGCCTGGGGCAAAGTAGGCCCTTGATAGATAGTTATTGAAAAAACAACTATTCAACTACAGACCATTGGGAGTGGGGGTTGTGAGAGCCCAGAATTCTGAATATAGCGCTCCTGTTGTGGGATTGGTTGCGGTTAATGCATGTGAAAGCACCTAGCAAACCCATGACGTACATATGATGGCCCTCAAAAGTTAATGAGACTGTAAGCTTCTTGAGCGCCAGTTCTGTGTCTTGTTTCCTGCTGTATTCCAGTGCACAGCGCATAGTAAGACTAAGTAACTATTTGTTAACTGAGAAGAACATTGATATAAAATGTGAGCCATTTTTCTCTCATCACTTCCTTCTTCACCCTTACCCCTGGCCCAGTGAATGAGGAAACTGGCATGCAAAGTGAAGCAACTTGCCCAAGCTGACACAGTTAATAAACAGCAGAGTCAAGATCTGAACCAAACCCAGGACTTACTGGGTCCTCATTTTGAAGTCTTTCCACTCTGAGCCGAGGTAGACACTCTCTCTTGAGAGCAGACTTTGAGACAAGTAATGCACAACCCTACGGCAGTGGCCATTCTTTCCATTCCTTGCTTCCTAGGTGGTATGGACAGTTCTAAAAAACCTTCCCATTTGCTTCCACCAGTTTATGGTGTAACTAGTACTTTTGAATCCCTATGGGGATAAAAGTTTAAATAATTTTTTTAAGACTGTTAAGTGGCAGATTAACAGATCTCCAGCCTCCATCCCTCGGTGCTATTTACGCGAGAGAAGGAAAGGGAGACGCCACCGCAGGGCTGTCGTTTCTCTAACTGGCTGATTTGCAGTTCCCTTTACAATACATCGTAGATACCAGAGCAACAGATGAGCCCCGATCCTGAGCAAGATAAGTCGCTGTTCTTCCGCAGGATTACTTCCCCTGTGCCAGTGGTGGCTGAGGAGCTGATTGTGAATGGCCTGGTTAGAACTGACTTAAGATGAAATTCTGAAGAGAACAAGGTTTTTCTCCCCTGCATATCTTCCCCCCCCCCC